TAGACTGTCAACAAGGAAGAGGGCCGGCAATGGAGGAGGGGGCGTACCAAAGAGACCATCTTATCACAAGCAGAACTGGTTTGTTCCACTTTGGAGTAAGCTGTTGGGGGGAAGAATCAGTTTTGTGTTGTGTTTCCTTGACTGATGAAGCCTTCCGGACCGAAGATGAAACGTTTCAGCACAAAAAAAAGAAACTGTCCAGATGACCTGACTGAAAAATGTTGGGTCTAGATTTACTAGTTCATCTACAGGTGCTGGTCGTAAAATTAGAATATCGTGAAATACTTGATTTTATTTCAGTAATTCCATTCAAAAAGTGAAATTTGTATATTATATTCATTCATTACACACAGACTGATATGTTTCAAATGTTTATTTCTTTTAATGTTGATGATTATAACTGACGATGAAAACGCCAAATTCAGTATCTCAGAAAATTAGAATATTACTTAAAACCAATTAAAAAAAGTAATTTTAGAAATGTTGGCCAACTGAAAAGTATGAACATGAAAGGTATGAACATGAAAAGTATGAACATGAAAAGTATGAACATGTTCAGCATCAATACTTAGTGTTGCTCCTTTAGTCTGGATCACTGCAGCAGTGCGTCGTGGCATGGAGTGGATCAGTCTGTGTCACTACTCAGGTTCTGAGAGCCCAGGTTGTTCTGATCGTGGCCTTCAGCTCTTCTGAATTGTTGGGTCTGGTGCATCACATCTTCCTCTTCACAATACCACAGAGGTTTTCTATGGAGTTAAGATCAGGTGGGTTTGCTGGCTAATAAAGAACAGGGATACCATGGTCCTTAAACCAGGTACTGGTAGCTTTGGCACAGTGTTCAGGTGCCAAGTCCTGTTGGAAAATGAAATCTGCATCTTCATAAAGTTGGTCAGCAGCAGGAAGCATGAAGTCTCTAAAACTTCCTGGTAGATGCTGCGTTGTCCTTGGACCTCAGAAAACACAGTGGACCAACACCAGCAGATGACATGGCCCCAAACCATCACTGACTGTGGAAACTTGACACTGGACCTCAAGCAACGTGGATTCTGTGCCTCTGCTCTCTTCCTCCAGACTCTGGGACCTTGATTTCCAAAGGAAATGCAAACCTTACTTTCATCAGAGAACATAACTTTGGACCACTCAGCAGCAGTTCCTGGCGAGACACTTCTGACGCTGACTCTTGTTCAAGAGTGGCTTGACGCATTGAATGCAACAGCTGAAACCCATGTCTTGCATACGTCTGTGCGTGGTGGTTTGTGAATCGCTGACTCCAACTGCAGTCCACTCTTTGTGAATCTCCCCCACATTTTGGAATGGGTTTTGTTTCAACATCCTCTCCAGGGTGCAGTTATCCCTGTTGCTTGTACACTTTAATCTACCACATCGTTTCCTTTCCTTCTCCTCTCTATTAATGTGCTTGGACACAGAGCTCTGTGAACAGCCAGCCTCTGTAGCAATGACCTTTTGTGTCTTGCCCTCTTTGTGCAAAGTGTCAATGGTTGTCTTTTGGACAACTATCAAGTCAGCAGTCTTCCCCATGATTGTGCAGCTACAGAACCAGACTGAGACCATTTAAAGGACTTTGCAGGTGTTTTGAGTTAATTAGCTGATAAGACTGTGGCACCAGGTGTCTTCAATATTGAACCTTTTCACAATATTCAAATTTTCTGAGATACTGAATGTAGTGTTTTCATTAGTTGTCAGTTATAATCATCAACATTAAAAGAAATAAACATTTGAAACATATAAGTCTGAGTGTAATGAATGAATATAATATACTAGTTTCACTTTTTGAATGGAATTACTGAAATAAATCAACTTTTTCACGATATTCTAATTTTATGACCAGCACCTGCATGTTTCAACCATGAAATGTGGGTAATTAATAAAATAACAAGGGCCTGAATACAAGCAGCTGAAATGAGCTTCCTATAGGGCATTCTGGGTCAGCCTGGGGGATAAGTTGAGGTGCACCTTCGGAGTAGAGCTCCTGCTCCTCATCAAAAGAAGTCAGCTGAGGTGGTTCAAACATTTGATTAGGATGCTTCCCGGACGTCTCCCTCTGGATGTTTTCCGTGAACATACCGCTGTGAGAATTCCCCTGAGGCAGACCCAGAACTCGCTGGAGACATTACGTATTTATCATCAATGGTTTGGGAACACCTTGGGATCCACCAGACGGAGCTGGACAATGGAGCAATCAGTGGGACAATCTCACACTGTTGGATGGAACTTTTTTACATAAAACACTCTTTGAATTTGTCTGTCTTTTTTAATTATTATTTGGATATTCACAATCTTGTTGACATGTCCTGTAAACAAAGGCTGTGCTAATTTGAATTTTTTTAGGGAAACTTCAGTTTCATTTGGGTGCCACTTATGATGAAAGCATCCCAATAACACACTCACAATTTTGGATTTCTGCTATGAGTAAATATGCCATTATGAGTAAATGGTAAAGATTCTTTTGACAGCCAGAAATATTCTGTCGATTCAGTCTGTTTAATATGTATATTATTTATTTTTTGCAGAGTCTGAAGAAGGACCAAGCATTGACGGTTTGAGCACGTCACCCAAATCCTCTATAGGTGAGTAAACTCCTATCAGCCTCTGTGTGTTCCTCTTCATGAGCGGTCTTCCTCAATTTTTTTTCTTAATGTCTGACCATGATACAGTTCATTTTCACTTCACTTGTTCTGCAGAATACAATCTTACCACCTCTCAATTATTTCTTTCTTTCTTGATCAACAACCCTCGGAGTTATTTAAATATATCACAATTGGTTAAAAAAAATTTATTAAAAAAATGAAATAATTCCCAAAGTGCTCTTAGCTGGAAACTGGTCTCCGACACTGGATTTCTGCAATACAGGCCCTGAACATGGCCCATTGAAATTCCGTGTCCCCGATCTCCCCTGGGCCTACTGAGAAACTCTCCCGGAGGTGTGAGTTGAAGATTGCATGGACAGAGGGCTCTACCAGACATTCCAGTTCACCCTCACTATACGTTTGGTTTTATCAGGTCAGTCTGGCAGTCTCTCTCGCCATTGGATCCAACTCACCACTAGGTGGCGATAAATTGACAGTTTTGCCCCTCTCTTCACCCAAGTGTCCAAGACATAGGGCTGCAGGTCTGACAACGCAATTGCAAAATCGATCATTGACCTTTGACCTGAGGTGGCCTAGTGTCAAGTACACTTATTAATCACCCTATGCTCAGACATGTTGTTTATTATGGACACCTCGTGCCTAGCACAGAAGTCCAATAAACAAACATCATTCTGGTTCAGATCAGAGAGGTTGTTCCTCCCAATCACCCCTTTCCAGCTCGACTGACTCTGTGCAGTGTGAATGAGAACTGCACCAGTTGAAAATGTAAACAAATGTTCTGAGTTTTGGTCCCCAATTGAACAGAGTCTACCGGACTATCAGGTGTGAAAACACCCTCAGAGATACCAATGAGTACGCTTCTCAAAAAGAAGGGTATTAGTGACGATGTTGAATGATGTACTCTGATCAAATGTCTTTATACATCGTCCACCAGACAGTCATTCTCTTTCATTTTTAGTAGCTGTTGTCATATTGATGATTTCTAATATTGTGCAGCGTTGTTAATTGTTTTTAGACCTTGACATGTTTCCTGCCAGAGGAGAGCTTCTCTACATTGCTCAAAATATAGCTCTGGCATGCTTGTAAATATTTGGAGACGCATAATAAAATAAACAATAAAATTTAGGATGTCTGCGACATCTCACATTTAGAAAAGGTTTTGTCGCATAAATTTGTTGCATACATTATTTTGACCATGTTCAAACTTCAGACAACAATATTGTAAGCTTCTGCAACTCATACAATGAAACTGAGAACTCCACTTAACATTTCAAGACATTTCGGAGACTCCATTTCAAATGCTGTTCTTCAGCTGGTCTCCAGCAGCCACAGTCTGCTGAAATACTGGCTTAAAGTAATGGCAACAAATTGTGTTTCTGTGACAGACTCCTGGTAACTAAGGGTGTATTCACACCAGCCCTGTTGTCCTAAACTCTAGCCTGTTGCCTAGAAAGTCCGGTTCGTTTGGGGAGGTGTGAACTCGCCATCAAACTCTGTCACGGAACAAAAAAGCGAACGCTGGCCCGTGCTAAAACCTAGGTTGCGGTCCGGTAGAAGAAAACTCGAGCGCGGTTCGAGTACAGTGTAAATGTAAGCAGACCGGGCACCGCTCTGCAAGCAGGAAGACGACTACAACGCAGGGCAAACAAACACGCATTTCTCTTACCTTGTATGGAGCTGTCAGCTGCCTTATGTGAAAAACGTTCTCCATGATCTTCTGCCTCATCTTCCACTCATGCTGAGTCCGTTGTTGAAAAATGACTAAATAGAACTCCTAAAACCGCTAAAATGTGACGCCACTCCGTTTTTGTTTTTATTTCCAGAAGAAGTGTCTTCAAAGGTTTTTGTGTCGTTTCTTTCAGTAGTTCTTGGTGCAGCACCCCCACAGGCGAGCGGGGGAACAGGTTGGTTCAACAGGTTGGCTTGACTGCACAGTGCAGTGTGAATGCAAACGCACCAGCTCAAATGTAAACAAAATGTTATGAATATTGGGCCCGAACCGAACCGAGTCTACCGGACTATCAGGTGTGAAAACAACCAAAGAGTCTGAAGAACCAAATTTAACTTAAACATATATAGTAGGTTGTTCATTTCATGTGTTTAAGGAGCTTTTTTGTGTCTGAATGAGTTAGATCTATCAAAGTTAAGTTGGGTCCTCTGGACGGATTCTTCTTTTTGAAAAGTTTCGTCTTTTATCTAAAAGACTTCTTCAGTCTGAGGAGCTGCAATAAACTCAGTCTTGTAAATGGCACCTTCTCATAGTGGATCAACCAGTTTGTTTTTGACGTCCAGAACTAGATGTTCACCTGATAAAGGGGGACCATCAGCCGTTAACTGGTAACATTGGCTTAATTGGTCATTAATGCACTGAGGGCTGCTTGCTATTCAGAGAGGGCTGATTGATACTAGCAATAACAGCATTGTAAGAGGGGGACAGATGGACAAGGAGGCTTCCACCCCTGTTTAAAGATGGGCAGTTTCGCTTCACAAAGATGGCTTCTTTTACTCCTCTCTCAAACCAACGCTCCTCTATCAAGCCAACGGTCACTCTTTCAGAGAGTCACTCTTTCAGGGATGAAGATGTTCACATCCTTGATGTGAGAAACGCTGTAACCAAATTTAAAGATTTTCTTCCATCGTTTTCCTCTATCTTGCAGAGTAATACACCAAAGAACAGTGACTTGGATCATCTAGTTGATAAATTTACAACTTTTTTGCAAACTTCACTTGATAAAACTGCTCCACTGAAAAATAAAGTAATCAATCAGAGGAGACTGACTCCTTGGTTCAATTCTGAGTTACATACTTTAAAACAGGCATCTAGAAAGCTGGAAAAAGATAGTGTGTTGAAGAATTTTACTTATCTTGGAGAGATGGCCTGCTAACGTATAAAACAGAACTATATATTATTCACCTTTAATTGATGAGAATAAAAATAACCCCAGGTTAACAAAGTCCATGCTCAATAATCCAGGTATACAATCCAACAATTTTCAGTCAGGTCATCTGGACAGTTTAGTTTTTTGTGCTGAAACGTTTCACTGTCCATCCAGTAGGCTTCATCAGTGAAGGAAACGCACAACAAAACTGATTCTTTCCCCAACAGCTTACTCCAAAATGGAACAAACCAGTTATGTTGGTGCTAAGATGGTCTCTTTGGCACGCCCCCTCCTCCGGTGCTGGCCCTCTGCCTGAATCGGTGTGTAACACCGGTTCGCAACAAGCTCCAAACAGTCAGGAAGTTGATTCATTTTCTGTTTCCTTACGGTATTTGAACTGGAAGATTCATCTTCAGTGAAATATTTCCATACAATTGATGCATTTCTACCTGTTTGCCGAGACTGGGCCTGCTCTGCACCATCTGTCTGCTTGGAGGAATCCATTTTGTAGCTTCTACTAATAGCTCGTGCCCGGTGCAGATCACGTGACACGTGAAGCTATGACGTAACTGCGACGTAATGACGTAACTGCAAATTCTCAACATGAAATTTTAAAACTCGCGAAACGTCTTAGGAATCGATGTGTCAATTACTCGAGTAGTCTGTTAAAGCCCTAGCCCACATCAAAACAACCATAAACATGGAACAAGGACCCTCGCCAGTACACATACCGCGAGAATCGATCAACAAATGACGCCATCTCCTCTGTGGTCCACACTTCACTCACCCACCTGGAGCAAAAGGACTCCCCTACGTCCGTATGCTCTCTGTGGACTTCACGTCTGCCTTCAATATAATAATCTCCCAAACCCTGATGGACAAACTACTCACACTAGGACTAAGCCCCTCCATTTGCAACTGGGTCCTGGACTTCTTAACAAACAGACCACAGTCTGTGAGGATCCACAACTTCTCCTCCTCCACCATAACCTTCAGCACTGGCTCCCCTCAGGGCTGTGTGCTGAGCCCCCTCCTGTTCCCTCTGCTCACGTATGATTGAACAGACCACCCAGCACTAGACTCACCTCACCACCAGATGAAGAGCATCTCAGCGTGACCTCAGCCGAAGTAAGGAGTACTTTCAGGAGGATTAATCCGCACAAGGCAACCGTCCCAGACAACATCCCTGGAAAAGTGTTGAAAGAATGTGCCGATCAGCTCTGCGAGGTGCTGGCAGACATCTTTAACACCTCACTTACCCTAGAGACAGTTCCCACCTGCCTGAAGACTGCTACCATCATCCCAGTCCCAAAAAGCTCTACAGTGACTGGTCTGAATGACTACCGGCTAGTGGCCCTTACCCCGATAGTCGCTAAATGCTTCGAAAAACTGGTCATGACTCACATCAAAACAACCATCAACATCGAGGACCCTCATCAGTACGCATACCGTGAGAACCGATCAACAGAGGATGCAATCTCCTCTGTGGTCCACACTGCGCTCAACCACCTGGAGCAGAAAAACTCTTAAGTCTGTATGCTCTTTGTGGACTTCACATCTGCCTTCAATACTATGATCCCCCAAACCCTGATGGACAAACTATTCACACTAGGACTAAGCCCCTCCATTTGCAACTGGGAACTAGACTTCTTAACAAACAGGCCACAGTTAGTGAGGAGCCACAACTTCTCCTCCTCTACCATAACCCTCAGCACTGGCTCTCCTCAGAGATGTGTGTTGAGCCCCATCCTGTTTACTCTGCTCACGTATGATTGTGCAGCTACCCATCCAGGCTGTCACATTGTAAAGTTTGCAGATGATACAGCGGTGGTGGGATGCATCACAAACAATGAGTCCAGCTACAGGCAAGAGGTGGAACACCTGGAGAGCTGGTGCAAAGAGAATAACCTTCAAAAGAGATGATTGTGGACTTCAGAAGGAACAAACACACCTACACCCCCTTGAACATAAGAGGATCTGCAGTGGAAGTGGTCTCCAGCTACAAGTACTTGGGTGTACACCTGAATGACAACCTCAGCTGGGGCAACAACACCACCAGCCTGATCAAGAAAGCTCATCAGAGACTCTACTTCGTCAAGC